CCAGCAAAAACAGTTTCTCTCTTCTTTATACATTTTACAACTAAGCCCCCACTCTCTCCCCCTCTCTACCGAAGGCGTGTTATACATTTAAGCAACTAAATCATTCTAGGGCTATAAATCTAGCTTGTTAGTAACTTCTCCCTAAACAGTTATTTGGTCCTGTTTACCCTTAGTTTATTACCCCTTCCCCAGCTAGAAACATGCAAACCTCATCATTATTGTTTGGTACCTGGTATGAACAAGGTCGTAATTGCTAACTGGCTATTTACACATTCCAATTCCTGTCCTTGGTTGTTGAGGCCGATTAGAGTTAAACATGGAAGGACAGAGTTTAAACATGGAAGAACTCTGGCTCAGGCAGGCATAGTAACCCCAACAAAAGGATGACTAAAAAAAGGATTTGGTCTCCTGTCCTTGGAAGGGAGAATGGGAGAGAGACCATCCAAGTGCAGGAACAGTGCCCTTCATCAGATCATTCCATACTGCTTGCATTGGTATGGGCCTCCTTTGTTTGAATCTCTCTGAGGCAGAAAATCAATGTCAATCATGCCTGAAGATTTCTCTCCTCTTGAGTGTGCCTGGTGGTGCTCTCGGCCCCACAATACACACACAAGAAAAGTGTTGGCATTTTCCACCCTATTTTCCACCAAATAATGTAGGGGAATTAAATACAAACATCATAAAACCAGACAGGTTTCAACAGGTCATGGTGTTCAATCTGCTGTATCGCCACCTTGGGCTTGTCTAGACGAGGATAAAAAAAATATCTATTTTAAAACATGTTAGCTAACCTACGTTAACTCAACTCTAGTGCAGACAGGGCAAGTTGTTTTTTAACCTGTGTTGGCTGGTTGAGGTGAAGAAAAAGAGTTATAAGCAAGAGAGATGATGTTGGTCTTTGTGGCAAACACAGATTCCGCACAGGTGCGCAGAGTTGACAATCATGGCAACGGAGGCACAGTGATATATTGGAAACTATGCCTGTTTTTATTTTGCTTGGCTTACAGAATGAAAAGTGTACAAATAATAACCTTTTCTTTTTTGGGAGCCTAGAGTTCACCTCAGCCCATTAAAGTGTTAATTAACAGCTTGCCCTCTCTGCTCTAGAGTTTTAAATCATCTAGCCAAAGGGGTTTTTAAAAATACCCCTTTTTGCTTAGTGTCAACAGGCCCCTAGTCCTACTGCCAAAAACTTCAACAGTGTATATGGGAAAAAGTATTCTTTCCTGACCAACTCTCCTCCAGATGATCATTTTGTACCCTGAAGCATGATGTTTAATTACCTGTAGAATGTTAGAGACCCTGGTGTCTGGCATCCAACTCCATTTTGATATGTGAAAAAATGCTAAGTCAGCAATGAGCTACTCAGATGCATATAAAGTTCCTGAAAGGGAGGATTCCAGGGAGGCATAACTAAACTTCCTGACCCCTCCTTCCAAAGTCTTTTGCTCAGGATGCTCTGTGAACCGGGAATAATGTAAAATTACAGCACTGTAATAAGTCACTTTGTTTTTTCTACATTCATTCCACAGCAAATTTACTCCTCCCTTCACCAGCAGTTCCCCTTCCACATCTGCCAGTTATTGCAATTCCTTTCCTTCCCTGAGCCACACATCACAAGCACCTGCCAATCCTGATGCATCAGCAATGAACAAAGCATGTCAAGTGTTACAGCCTGCAGGTTTTAGTATCTAATCTGACAGATGTATTTACAGAGAGAATGGACAATATTAATTGCTCTTCTGTCTCTGGATTTCACAAGTATGCAGGCAAAACCCTATCCTCCAATTGTGTATTTAGGCATCCGCAAATGCTTATGATATTTTTCTCACTTGTGATTTTTCTCTGAGGCCCTATTACCATTCACAGCCATACCACTTTGGGCTGCGCTTCTCATCGGGTCTCCAGAGCAGGACTAGGCCATGTCAGCAGCTGCATGAGGATTTTAACGGAACCCCTTATTTGAGGAAATAGTGTTGGTAAGCATAAAAGCCATGATGGGAGGTTCCTCCACTGACAGTACAGAATTTAGGAGAAGAGCATGAGTTTTGCATAGAACAAGGTAAACTTGAATCTAGAGAGACTGGCAGACTGCCACAGCCAGGAACAGTTGAGAGCTACGCTTAAAGAGACTGCAGATGCTGCACATATGGGGAGAAATTAACACAACAGTAGAGCTTCTCTTAATTTGTGAGACTAACTGCAACAACCAAAGAGGCAAACCACATGAAGTGAAATTATGAAGTGGGATTCAATGGCATCACTATCGAAAGTGGAAAGATGTGGTTAGGAAATGTGTTAGCGACCACATGTGAGCATGTTTTTAACACCCAGTTTAGACAGAGACAGCATTTAAAAACATTATCTGGTTGGAGGTCCAACCATTGAGCATAGCCAGTAAACACACACTTTTAAACGTGTTAAGTCTGGCTACATTAGGCACTAGCAACACACATTTTAAGCAGCACTTAATACATGCTAGCTAACATGTCTTAAAAATATATTTTTCCTAGTCTAGACAAGGCCATTAGATCCTGACCTCACACAGCTTAATGAAAGGGGGAGGGTCTGGGAAGGTATGAGAAAGTGGTCTTTTCTCCAGAATGCTAATTAATCACTGACATTAAATAGCTATTAACAAAAAAAGACAAATTCCCCTTCCCACCTCAATGACTCAGGTTTCAGGCTTCTGTGATATCCTAATTTCACTAATTCTTCAATTATAGAGCTTTCCAAGGCCTGCGTTTCTATTCTTACATATCCATCTCCAAAAGTCAACCTAAAAATCCTTCCAAGTTTCCTTATTCCTCATAAAGAAACCCCCGCTACCCCCATCCCCTTATGCGAGGGACCTTTAACATGGTCAGGGATAATGGTTGTAAATATTCCGTGCCTCCGTTTCCCCAGTTGTAAAATGGGGCTAATACACTCCACTTAGCTCCCAGGTAATCTTTAAAAACCAACACCCCTGCACTGCACGTCCCCGTGGTGGAACAACAAAGTGTGTGCCAAGCATGGCTCTTGTGCTGCTGGCCGCTGCATCGAGCGAAGGCCCCTTTGCACACAGCCCGGTTTCCATGCAAGGCGGTAGAGATCCCGGAGCTGCCTTGGCAAACAGCGCGGGGGTTCAGCTATCCCCACGCCTCGGCTGGGCTCTGCCCCCTGCTACGCCACGCGACGCCAGCGCTGCTCTCCTACCATACCACGCGCGCAGTTACACCTGCCCCGCACCCCGAGACGCCCTGGCGGCGGCACCGGCCCAGCCCCCGCGCCAGACGTGCAGCTGGGCACGTCCCACTTGGGCTCTGGTGGGCAGTCAGCTGGCCGAGCTCGCTCCGCCCCGCTGGCCGCACGTCAGCCGCGGAGCCCTATTTATATCCCCCCCGCTCCCCCCGGCAGCGGTACTGCAGTGGTGGCGGGGAGCGGGCCGGAGGATTAGCAGCGTACAGTCTTTGCTAGCTAGATCGCCCAGGTAAGCCGCAGGTGGGAGTAAAGCGCTGCAGCATCCGCTTGGAGCAAGGGCAGTCCTGTGCAGAGACGCGGGGGGCCGCTAGGACGGGTTTTGTTCGGGGGGGGGAGGCTGTTAGTTGCATAATCCGCCGAGTCATTTTTATTTTTTGTTGGGGGGGGGGGAGTTATATACACCACTGGCTCATCGGTTTGTTTTGAGGGAGGGGTAGGAGGGTTCTGTGCTGCGATCCCTGAGTCACAGGGGTGGTGCGGCTTATATAACCCCCGGGGGTCACTGATTGTTTTGTGCGGGAGCGTTGGCTGCGTTATAATTCTTCAGTGTTCCCTGGGTCACTGCGATTTGGGTGTGGGGTATAGAGAAGGGCTACATAACCTCTAGTAACTGAATTGCTTTTAGGGCTACATGAGTTACGGGTATATGATCCCTGGCCCACTGTAACTTTGGGGGGTGCAAGGGTTAGTTATACAACCCCTGTGCACTGGGAGGGTTATAGCAGCCCTAGGTAACAATATTTTGGGGGACGTTGTGGTGATTTTGGCTGCAGTCTCTGGGTCACTCTGATTTCCGAGGTGGATTGGGGCAATGGGCACCGTGGCTACGTGCCCTGTGTTCTGAGTTCTTCCCCAAGCTGCAACATCCGCTTTAATCATCGATTGAGTCATTGCTGTGGAGCTGTTACATGCAATTATCGTTTTACTGTTGCTGACCTTCAAGCTCAGTCAGGATGCTTCCTTGCTGTGTGATGGGCATGCCCCTGGGGATGATAATGGTGCCCCACACAGATTGCAGGCTCCTGCTTAGCTGATCCCCTTTACAGGCTTGCTCAGGGTCCCTGAGCTGCAAAGACCTGATCCTGTCTGAGGGGAGAATCCTGCGGTTGCTGGTGGCTTGGTGGCTTAGCGTGGAGGGTTGCACAACATTCAGTGAGCCTCGTTGCTCCTCTCCAGATTACTGCACCCAGACACACCCGAGCACTTTCCCTTGGGCAACCCAGCATGATGAATTCTGGGGGGTGAAGGTGGGGCTAGCTTCTGCCTGGAGCTGGGGGGGCGGGGGGGAGTGAAATCCGTGTCCAGGATGGGAGCTGGCTTGGCTGGCGCTTGCAGTTCTTCCTGGCATCGGAGGCTGCTCGCTGGCAGATTAGGCATGCGAATGAAAGGAGGGTTACTCTTGCATGGGGCAGCAGACCCTGACCCCTAGTCAGGCAGAATCAGAACTCAGCTGCTCCTTTAACACACTGTGAGGACTAATCCTCCTCTAGTCACCACCCGCTTTTGCTGGACCAGGACTGAGCGCCCACAGGAGCTGAAACAGCACTAGGCTGCTTGAGGTGGTGCTCGGGCTGATCTTACCTAGATGAAACTAGGGAGCCCCCACCTTGATCAAGCAAAGCTCACTGCAAGCAGGAACACTGCAAGGGCCTGCAGGGAGCAGCCTGGGGGTGGGTGGATGGTGGTGTGTACCTATTCCTAAAATGTCAGAGACCTGTCCAACCTCTGAGCCTGTGCTGGGTGAAATTCGAGGACTCCCACCATCCCCATCTCTGCCTCTGCTCATAGAGCCCTTTGCCATGCTCTGCTTCAACAGCCTTGGCTGGCATTCCAGTTACTGCCCCTTGGTGGTGGTGTGGAGCCTAGCCACGGCCATTTGCACTTGGGTCTGGCAAGGCATTAGGCTTGGCAACCCGACAGCCCGTTCTGTGTTGGATTCCAGCTACAATATAACATCCCACTGTGTTAATCTGATGCTCTGTGAGGAAGAAGTACAGCTACGCAAACATGACACAGTGCAGGGGAAAAAACCCAATTAATATTTGTGGCAACATTTGTTTAAACAAACATGCCCAATGTTTCTACCATTGTGAAAAACCAAACCAAACCCCAACCAGTGTGTTTTGGGTCAGTATCTGCTGTCTTAGATAGCTATTTCATTTGATCGGTGAGGAATGGAGCCAGTGCTGTTAGCGAAGTCTACCCTTTGAAAAGCTTGTGGTTGCAAAGCACTTCCAGCAAAATCCATCTTGCAAATCGCAAGTCCTAAAACACAACCTGGGTACAGAACCACATATTAAATAGATACAGTCAAGTATTGATTTCACCTGGATCTATGCACTAGCTTTCATGCTGTGCACAGATGCTTGATTCTTCATGACTATCCCTAACTCCTTGGGTGGAATAATATCCCTCAAACGTATATTTTACAGTTGATGAAATACTTCTATTGGCTCTTGATCCAAACATGATGTATCATTTTCTGTATAAATTTTATCTTATGGAGGACTTGGCCCATGTGGAGATGCTTTAGAGCGGCAGTCCCAATCTTTACTGGTTCATGTACCACCTTTTAAAAAAAATTGTTGTGATGTGAAGGGATGGAACATAGCATGGTGTGGGAGCCCCTGCTTTAAAGGACAAATCTGGCCTATGGAGAAAATGTGGGTCTCTCATATTACAGTGCTCTGGGAAGCAGAGATGTTCCATGTCAAAACCCATGACTCTAATCTCCTTGCCCACTGAGCCATACAGCTAGGGGCAAGAAATAGGAAAACTGGCATTATTAACTTGTATTGTACTGCATAGAGGCCCTGAGGGGCCTTTCATGCTAGACTCTGTACCACATGAACTAAAGACAGCCTGGCAGAGATTACGCTTATCATTTATCAAATGCCATAACTGTAACCTACTTTAGACAGAGGGGACAGTGTGACCCTGCTGCTTATGAGATGCAATGTGATAGGAAGATGAAGTGCCTCATAGTCCCTGTGTATATGTCCTACTCTAAAACACTTAAGTGATGGAGTCTGCTGTTTAGTTAAACAAAAATCTCATTATCTTTCCCTGTTCCTAGATTTCATTGGGCAAAACCTGTCCCACAGGCTTAACACAGCAAGTCCTGTTTTCCCTCCCCTTCCATCTGGGCAGCTATTTTTACTCACTTCCCTGGCTGCGCAGAACTTGGCTACGGCGGCAAATGGCAACAGTGGAACTTAGAGCCTGAAGACAAAGGCTGTTGGGCCACAGGGTGCCATTTCTGAGTCTGCTGGCTGGGTGGTTCCTCACTCCCACTGGTAACTGCACCCTGCCTCTGTTAGAAGAGCAGCAGGAGCCTACCACACTGTTGGAGGAACTGGGAGCTAGTCAGTCCTTGTATCGACACTAGCAAGATTGGATGGGGTCTGAATTTGGGGGAAAAAACACTAAGGTGACTCCAGGCTGGAGTTTGAAGACCAGTACTCCCCATTGGGGTGCCTTCCTCCACAAAGACCAGTTATACTGACACCAAGTGGCAGGGGAGAATTTCCAGTGCCTATCTGTACATACTGAGAACCAGGGAAGTGCCTTTCACTTCCCAGGGGTGGTCAGGATTGTCCTTCCTGCCTTTTCCTCCCCTTGGTGGGAGAGAGAAGCAGTTTATTTTGAAGTATATGTAAGTGCCTCTGAAAGGGGCCAGAATCATAGCCCCTAGCTACTGAATCCCTTCATCCACAGGACAAACAGAGCCATAGCAGTGCAAAGTTGCACCTCTCAGTGCTGACCCTGAGGGACATGCTGGAGCCCCAAGCAAAAAAAAACAACCAAAAAAAAAACCTGTGGCACGGCCGGAGTGCGGGTGCCGGGGGACTGGCGGGGGAGAAGGGGGGAGGGAGCGGGCAGGGAGAGAGAGAGATGGGGGCGGCCAGGGCTACAGCAGGGGCGCTGCCACGCGGCCCCTCCCGTTGCACCACCTCCTGCTGCAAGGGCTCCGCTCCGGTCGGCAGGGAGGGAAGGAAGAGGACTGCCCTGCAGGGCGCTCTGGTTCTCCGCGCTGCCGCCCCCTACAGGGTGGCCGGAGCAGAACAAAAAAAAAGCGGCCATGCCCCCCTAGGATTGGGCAGAATGCTGCCTCGAACAATCTGCCACCCCAAGAACCAGCTTGCTCAGCTGGTGCCTGGAGCCGGCCCTGAGCAGAGGGTTCATTGTTCTGGCCCGTTCTGTGCCCTGTCTTTTGAGGGATGATAGTGGCTTTGTACAGCTCGTCAGAAGAAGCGGCACGTCTCTCAGATATCCATGAATAAACATGGGGGAGGGGAACACTTTCAAAAGCTTGTAGGTCACTTAAATGCTTTTGAAAAGGTTGCCCTATATGTTACTGCTTATGTCAGTGGAATTTGAAATTGTGTCCTAAGCCTCTTCTAGACTGAGTTCCCACATCCCAGCCAAAGATATCCCCCATAGCCTTAAACTAGTAGCAATTTGCCGGATTGGATTAAAAGTAATGGTAAACATTAAGGTTGTTTTCCAATGGGGATGTTTGACACACTTAAATAAAGGAACCAGCCCCCTAAGCTGTGGCTCAAATTAAGTTGTATTTAAAGGTTTTCCCAACAAACAACTGACCATCTTTGTCAATCAAATGACATACATGAACCATATAGTGCCAGGTACCTAACCAGCAGGTATGTGACTGAAGAACTGGATATATTACTAATGGCATATTTAAAACTCTGCTCATGAATATTCATGCTGCCTCACCAGACCCTAACTCCTATCTCCCTTGTGATGCAACATGCAGCTGAAATAGTTATGAATGCAGAAGCCGTAGGGAAACTATTCTGCTTGTACAGCCAGAGGTGCAGTGTATTCCTCATGTAAGAATATTCTACCCAGGGGACAAAAATTAACTGGCTCATTAATGAAAATTCCTCAAATGCACCTTAAAACAAATTAACAAGAGAATTTAGGGAGTCTGGTCATCCACTCCCACTTAAATGACTGGGAAGTGTGAAGTGAGCTTGAAGAGGTCTTTCTGTATCTTAAGTTCTAGTATATGAGCAGGAAAGGCCCTAGTAGGTC